GGGGAAGGGTCCATAGGTCCTCATATGGCTTGTTAACTGAGGGGTGTTACAGAGTATTTGTTAAATATAGCTAACAAAATATATATTGTGTGTTTGATTGGTCCAGACGCTACAGCGCCAACTACTGGCCTGACATATGTTTTTGGCTGTTTTAGCGGATATGTATAAACGCAAATCGTTTTGAAAACGTTGTCGTGTATACGTGAAACTTTTTAAAAATGCAAGGGAAAAACGTTTCCGTTTTTGACTACATCGTTGTCGTGTAAACGTAGCCTGAGATTGCTTTTCTAAAAAAAAAAAAGAGAGAAAGAAATGGCATGTTGTATTTGAAGCATTTATTTGGGTTACACTTTAAACCCACTAATGATCATTATATACTTAGGGTGTATTCACACCAGGACCAAATGCAATGTTGATTTTTTTTTGTTTGGTGCGGTTCACTTTCACACTGCACTTTTTGCAAGTGAACCAGAAACTGTAAACCAAACCACACGTGTGCTTGGGTTCATTTGGAAGTGGACCGAGACCACCTCTTCAGCTGGGTCTCAGGACGGTTGTTTGGTGCACACCCGAGTGCGATTGCTGTATTCACACCTGCCCAAAAGCTCCGCACCAAGGGGTGAAACCAACCTGAGTTTGATTCAGTCGAATCAAACAAACAAAGACAGGTGTGAACACACCCTTAGAGACAGTATGAGAACAATTACCTGTAAATGTGATTGACACCAACATAGAAATATTCATCAGTCTGCTTTGCTGAAAATACAGAGTTGTGTTAGACACAGATGTTACTCATAACATACTGTACGTCTTAACTTTATATTAATACAGTTTTTGACAGTTGTGTTGTGGTAATTGTTTTTGTGATTTAGTATAGTGTCAGTGATTCTATTCATTTGAAATATTATAGGTAGAAACCCTTAAAAATAATGTTGTTTAAATCTACTGGTGAAATCAGATGTTTTGAGGACTACTAAATATTTGCCCCAGAATAACTTAATGAAGAGCTCAATTTTTTTCCTCTGACCAAATTGAACAATATAAAATATGTTTAGTGTTGACTTGAACTTGAAACCTTGAATTTTGTATTGTTTTCCCTAAATAACTATTGTAATACAGCTTCACTATAAAATAAATGCACATGTAAAAATTATTATTTTTGCAACAAGTATATAAAGAGCTTTTATTTTTGTGGACAACTGCTGTTTCTCTGAAAGCTGGTTTACAAATTGTGTGAACAGTGCTTTGCTTTGAAATGCAGATAGACTGTATGCTTATTTAAATAAATCTCAGCCTTTTGCAAAAGGCACTGAGCCATATTGTGATGCTTTACCAAAGCAGTGGCGCAAAGCACCATGTTAGAGAACTTTTGTATTGAGAAGTGTAAAAATAGTTTCATTCATTATGAAACAGGAAGGGACAGATTAGACTGTAGAGGGCCACATCTGTATTGATATTAGTGATACTGATGTTTATTCATAGCACTTAGCAAAAAGATGCCATTAAACAAAATATATGCATTGGATTGTTTGCACAGTTGTCATATTAGCCAATGTAACTTAAACTAAGAATTAGTCTGCTGTAGGAATTTGCTTGAAAATCACAGTCAGGCAGCATGATTTCTGATATGTGGGCTACTGGTATGAAACACAGGTCAGAAGAGAGATGAGTCTGTGTCAGAGAGCAGCTCTACAGGGAAAAGAGAGGGCGACGCTCCCACGGTCAGTAACATTGCATTGCCATTGATTTATGAAATGATTCTTCACGTGCTAATTTTATTGAAGTTTTGTGGATATTCTCAGATTCTGATCCGGCAGAGCAGCAGTCCAGCAGATCTGGATTATCCAGCAGACGGAGCTCCAGCATTTCTGAAGATTAAACTACGGGAGAAAAGTGAGCTTTGTTCGATGATCGCTCCTGGCATTTTTCTGTTCTTCTTGTTAAAATAAAATAAATCTTTCTTTCTTCTTTTTTTGCATTCTTTTTTGCTTGGTTGTATACCATAACAGTAGTTGTACTACTACTAATGATAATAATGTAAAAATTAAGTCTTGTTTGTTTTGTTTTGGTTTATGCTTGATTTTAATAGGAAAAAAATGCAAAATATCTTACATTAAAAGAAAGAATAGTAAGGTAGTTTGATATACATAATGTATTAGTATACAGTATTATGAAAATATCAATAGGACCCTAGTGAAAAATAAATATACTTAAATGTATTTGAAATTCATTTATTTCATGCTAAGTATACTACAAATACATTTTTATATTTATGTACTTAATAAAATGTCCTGCAATTGTACTTTTAGTATACTAAACTGGCATACTTAAAGTCTGCTAATATGGAACAACTAATGTTGTACTTAATGCACTTTAATTGTGCGGAAGTAGTGCAATTAAAGACATACTTAGTATATTTGATTGTGCTAAAGTGGAACTATTGCTATAAGTATATATAGTATAAGTATACTTCAGGTACACTTTAAATATTTTGCATTTAATGTCTGATACTATTGAAAGATCACACAATACTCCTCAAAAGTGACATTAAAACACATTTTAGACTTCATATCAAGAAAAGTGCATTGTGCACAAGTAATATGCCAAGTAAAGTTTAATTATAATTTTTATATCAGTATGTCTCGAGTTATCTGCCAGTAAATATGTTAATAGATTTGAACTATACTTAGTATGAAATAAATGTATTTTAAATATATTACCTTTTTACTAGGGGAATTATGTTATATTATAAATAATTATCAAAATAATGCCGTAATAAAATAACACATTAACTAATAATTATAATACATTTATCTGTGTGTGTGTGTGTGTATATACTATACATATCACTCACATCGTTAACACATCCCTTCACACTGGTGTTTTTCCCTCAACATTTAAACAGGCTCGTATAACCCCACTTCTTAAGGCTGCACAGATGCAACAGTGCTGCGAGATTCAGTGAGAAGCGTTTGAATTCGCCACACAATAAGGTTGCTGCGAGATCTAGTGAGAATCATTCAAATTCTGCACAGAATTTTTTAAATGGGATGATCAAAATATACTTTGTGGTAAACAAACCATCACAATTATAACCAGTAGACAGCAGCAGAGGAGCACTTATTGGCTATATTACTGTTAATAAAAGTAAATGTTGCATGCATCTTAACTCAAGCTTAGTGCTTTACTGTCAAATCTGTATAAACAATAAACAAAAGAAAAACAACAAGAAATGAACATGTAATATTATTAGTAACTGCACTTATTAATGCAAAACAATAGTCATTTTATGATTAAATGATCTATATTTTAATACTCCCGCACACCACCCCCAGCACTACCAGATCTGGTCCTGGCGCCACCATCTGTAGAACTTAGTGGCGCTGGTGCCACTGCTCTCAAATGTTAGTCTGGAGCCCTATATATATATATATTGTTTAAGATGACAACTGACTAGCTGGATGTACATTATGCTGCCTTTTACATGGCTACTTGTCATGTAAGTAAATAATTGGACTTAACTTTATTAGCTCACTAAACACAGAGCTTCCAAAAATCAAGATGTCACCAGATGCGTCTGTATGAAACAAAAGAGGGTGAGTGAGTGTGTGGTGTGTTATGAGAGACATAAAAGAAGCACCATCTTCAGATAGCCATATGAACGGTCTATACGGTTATACATTATCAGGGAATAACAGACCACAGAGATCTGCATTTCAGAGCGCCGTGTGATAACTAATGATTTTGTCAATATAACCTCTCTTCTGTCAGGTGAGAGTGTGAGCAGTGAGACGTCTAATGGTTATCTGAACGATGCTGAGGTGGGTCTGCTGGCGTGGCACGCGGTCGAGGAGGAGCCGGACTCTCCCTCTACACATGACATGAGCATGAGTGTTACTGTGGACACAGTGAGCCAGAGGAGCCTCCTGCTCAGCCACACTGAAGCACTGGCAGGTACCAGAACTCAGCACAGATCATCCCCTCTGAACCTTGATCCTACCCAGCACTCATGTGTCTCATCTGTGTCAACCCACAGCAGTAGCTGTCACACCACTCTGTGAAAGTTGTCTTGTTCTTGATGTTCTTGTTGTTCTTGCCCACTACTCTGATCTCAGTATTTATAATGAAGATAATAGCAGAACGGCATATGATGAAAGGAATAGTCCGGGGCTAAATACAGCAGCATCTGTGGGATTCTGTCAGTGATTGCCAGTTTGAAAAAATGCAACACACTTGCACTGGAAGTCTGTAAGGTGATTGTACAGCACCAGAATAAACATTACAAATAGACAATTCATCACACTTTATTGAAACTTAAACATTATACACTTAAAGATTATACATGTTAGCATGAGATTAATGCTAGAAAAAAACGCCTTGTATACATGTCATATAGGCACATTAAAAAAACAAATAAACACAGTATTTGTAAACAGTTTATTATCCATAGACTAGGTTGCCACCGGTGCTGTGAGTAGAACGGTATATTTAACCCAGAACATTCCTTTAAATCAGTGGTTCTCAACCAGGAGCCCGATGTCCACTAATGTCCAAGGGGAATCAAGATGCTAAAATTGTTTAAAAAAAAAAGAAAAGGAAAAGGGTATCATTAAAATAAGCTAAAAAAAAATTATTTTAATTGATCTTCTCAGCAACTTTTATTTATTTATTTATTTATTACATGTTATTTTTATGTTTTTATTTTATTTATTTATTTATTTATTTTTTGAAGGATAAGGGCTCCCATTAGTAAAAGGGTAAATTAGTAAAATTTTAAAAGCTAATCGACATTTTTTTTTATAATGACCATTCGTTGGATTGAAATTGTGTGTAAAAAATCCTCGTGTTGAAAAAATCCTTACATTCATATTATATGTGAATATGGGAGACAGTAAACAAGTTCATGCAAAGGTCCCCCCCCCCCATTTTTTTTTAAAATGCTGTAATAAAAAAATACATATTATTATTTTTTATATGTTGAATTTATGATTAAAAACGGGACTGCAGAGTGTGACATGATATCACAACCATTGCAGCGTCCAAACATAATATTGCGTGACCGCCCCTTTATTTAGTAAATCACGAACGATTGTAAAAGTCATGTAAATTCTATGGTTAAAAAGAGGGGAAGCCTTTGAAGTACATTCGAAATGCCTGTAATCCTGAAGTTTGTTTTCAGAGAAGTGTCGGGCCTTTGAATAAGGTGGAGAAGCACTGCTTTAAATCATCTTAGCATCTGCCACTGATTATTCGATGATTATATCAGGATCAGCTCTTGTGCCTCATGTGTCTGTAAGTGTGTTTGTTTTCCCTGTTTGTGTAAGATGTGATTCCACCACCCTTCCATCCATCACTGTGTTGTTGTGTAGGGTCAGATTGTGCCGCTCCTCCTCACTGTCCTCCAGTGTCTCCGGCTCTCCTCGTGCCTCATGGCTGCTGTGAGGGCCCTCATCTCCTGGAGGATGCCATGAATGTGCCTCACCATCTGGGTATTGCACTCATCCTCTCAACCTCCCTCAGACCAAACTCATCTTGTGTACTTCACTCTACCTCCATCCGTCCAAGGCAGCATATTTCCAGACCTTCACACAGGCAGCTTTCTTCTAAGACAACATCTTGACCAAAATGAAACCTCAGAAATAACTCATTTGAAATGCTCTTCATGGACAGGAACATGGCTTTTTTTAAATTATTTAATTATTTCTGTTTGGATGATGTGTGAGACAGTGGGACTGTGCCTAAACATTGGAGCACTTCATTAGTTAGCTGTCTCAGTTTAACAGTTCTGTCTTATTAATTATTATTAAACGAAGAAAGTAAACCGTATACGAACTCATACTCTAGTGTTCCACCAAATGAGTTTTTATGGCTCATATAGTATAATAGAGTGAGAATGTGGAGCTCAGCAGAAAAATACACCTCAGTTTTATTCAGAGACACAAACTGAGCGAAAATATGCAATGTGGTGCAGATGCTGATATTCATATGACCAAAAAGTAAGATGAAATTCTGATCGCTTGTGATGTAAATCAATGAGATCTTTATAACTGTATCACAGATACTAAAATAAGATGTTATAAATATCCATCGTCACTCTATATCTCCCAATATTGTGTCTTAATAAGATGATATTTAAGTAGTTTTATGATCAAAACATATAATGCAATGCAATATAATGATGACTGAGAGATAAATAAACAAATAAACATTCATCAAAGGCCTGATGATAATTTTTTAGACTGACAACTGAACATGATTTTTCCAGTATGTGTTCGTCTTGAAATATTACGAACAATATCAAAGTTATTCTTATGTCTACTTTACAATTAAAAAATTCACAACAAAAAGACACATGTAACAGGTAGATAAAGGGAGAAAATATTATACTAAAAGGCATCAATCAGATGATAGAAGGAATGTAGTAGATTGTGTGCAACGGGTTTTTCAGCTAAATTTGGATCATGTTGATCATTTAGAGACCTTAGAAATGTGTGTAATAAAATAAGATAGATAGATAGATAGACAGACAGACAGACTTTATAGGGCTAAACGCCATTTATTTCTTAACCAAGCCAACATCAACCGGAAGATCTTTCAAGGCTTCTTAAAGGTTTAGTTAGTTGCTCACTGTGTGTCTGCTCTTCTTTACAGACAGCAGTGAGTTTCTGGCTGATGACGTCAGCATCATCGCCGGCGGCAGTTTGACCGGTTGGCACGCCGACTCGGCCTTCGTTCTCTGGAGGAGGATCTTGGGGATTCTAGGTGATGTGAACAGCATCCGCTGTGCCCGCATCCACGCCAAGGTCTTCAGTTACCTCTACGAGCTCTGGCACAAGCTGGCTAAGGTAGGTTCCCTTCGTTCCCCACAAAGCCTTGTTTACAGTTAACTTAGAAATGAAATGCAAAAGATCCTGAACTGGTGTTTCAGATCAGAGATAATCTTGGGATCAGAGTGGAGACAGACACAGCCGTGGCCAGACCCTTGTTCATCCCTCCTCTGCGCATGCTGGCCTCCTGGCTCTTCAAGGTAATGCGCATACATTTTCCATCAGGAACGTTCTCTGCTGTTAGACTACAAGAGTTTCACAGATGATCAGCCAAGAAACATTACTGTCTACACCTGGGAATAATCTGCCTCAGATTGGGATTGTAATTGGGTTTCTTTTAGGGTAAGTTAAAAAAATAAAAATTGGGCAAGTAATTAATGCTTTTTTTTTTTACATTGATAATAAGAATTGTTTCTTGAGCAGCAAATCAGCTTATTAGAATGATTAGAACGGAAATTCAGCATTGAAACGCAGGAATAAATTATATTTTAAAACATACTCACATAGAAAGCTGTTTCACAATGTTCCTTTTCTTATTGTATTTTTGATCAAATAAATGCATTGTTGCTAAGCATAAGAGACTTCTTGTGTGTGTGTGTGTGTGTATGTGTATGTGTATGTGTATGTGTGTGTGTGTGTGTGTGATTGCATTTCATTTCATACTTGTTACGTTGCCTGACACAGAAAAAGATACAGGACAATAACTGTAACGATAACAATACAGATATAACTTTAATAATCATTCTAAATATAAAAACAGGACAGTCCATATCACAACTATAACGATAAAGGAATAAAGCAACATTATAGTTGGAATCACTTACAGAATTTTTTTTTTCCAGCTGTTGAACAATAAAAAACATTTGGTAGCCAATTAGAATCCACCTGACTTTAAAACATTTAAAGTGGCGGATGACTACAGCGCATTCTTATAATAAACAGAATCTTATCATGCATTGATATGTGTGGCTGCTAATGTAGTTATTGTTATAGTTATCTTTATGGTTATCATTCTTGGTGTGAGTTTTATTGGGAATTCATCTCTATTCAAATGCAGGAGAGAAGCAAACAGATGTAAAGTACTAGGTGGAATGCAAATAGAGCACAGTGATGTCATGAATATGCTAATTCGGCCACGTTTTCTGTATTTACTCTGGACTTTTTGTGTTGAATAAGAGTAGGCACACTGATTACTGAATGACTTATGATGTGTGTGTTCAGGCTACCATGCTGCCGTCAGAGTTCAAGGCTGGGAAGCTCCAGGCATATAAGCTGATCTGTGAGATGATGACCAAACATCAGGACGTGCTGCCCAACAGTGACTTCCTGGTGCACCTCTACCACGTCATGCACAAAGGCTTCACCAGCGATGATCAGGTACAGCTGATTCTGCATGTGTTTTATTAAACCTGCTTGTGTTCTGTTCTTGGTTTTACACGTCTGTTTGGCACATTATCGATTGTAATCATATGTGTATGCATATATATACATACACACCAGGAAGGGACATGGCATAGGAGTTGTGGAAGCTCCAGAGGAATTAAATAAATCATACTAATCCAGAAAAAGTACTTCCACCAATAAAAAGGGGTTTTAGACAACTGTACATCTCAATAACAAAGACTGTTCTTAGTCTTTAATTGAAAATGCATTGCTGTATTGTTTTTCATTCTCTTCTCTTTCATTTTAAGAGATACATTTTTTATGATTTGTTGAGGATATGCCTCAAATTCTGCTTGTAGAACTTAAGTATCTAAAATATTCCTTTAAAAAAAGAATAAAAAACTTCATGCAGTAGACCACTAGATGGTGCAACAGTCTTTCTTTCTTGTGATGCAGTAAAGCTGCCTGATTCTGTACTTGAAAAATTGCTTCTCTCCTAAACGTTCACAAAGAATCATTATTGAACAATCAAAAGAGAGTTAGTCTGATCTGATCTTGACTAATATACATTCTTTTTTTTTTCTTTAGGTTTTTTTTCATGAACAGGTTTTGTTTTTTTTGTGGTTTTGATGATAATGCACTGTGATGAAACATGTTCAGATCTCCAGTGGTGTGTGTGTGTGTGTGTGTGTGTGTGTGTGAGTGTGTGAGTGTGTGTGTGTGTGTGTGTGTGCTGGCACTGCACTGTGGCTGATGGAGTGCCTTACTCTTTATTTCTGTTTCTTGTTATTTGGTCAGAAAATAAGAGCTCCCCGAATGTTTAGCTGCAATGGAAAAGCAATGGAGATTGGACAAGAAAGACAGCAAAAGTGCTTTTGGCCACTGTTGTGGAGCTACACACTGTTGTGTGTCCATAATAGATTCTATTTGTGTCACTGTTGGCTTGAAGTCTCCCTCAAATCCACACAGGAACAGATTTGAAGGCCAGACAGAGCTCAGAGACAACGTGAACGCTAGTGCAGAAGTGCATCTCTTCTGCTGTAGTTTTACCATTCACTTGATGGAGCTGTTAAAGTTGAGCTTAGAGTTCACATCTGAAACACTTCTGAAAGAACACGGCAGTACAGTTTAACAGCCAACTGCAAAAACAGCATGAATTGGGCTGGATACGGGCTGCAATTCAAACACAGTATTCATTCTTTTCTGGTGCACTGAAAATTGAATAACTGTTAAAATCGTATGTACAACTATAGAGTTCTTTACCACTGAAGAACTTGGGCATCTCTTTGAAGTTTTGTGCATGTACACCATCAGTCACACCTTCTGAGGCTAAAATAGTCATCAATTCAACTTGAAAAAATGTGATAATGTTTTAACATTAATGTGTCAAAAATTATTTATTAATGTGATAATGTCTTAACTCGAAAGATGGATTAAGTAAATTGTTTGAAAACAGCATTTTCGAAAATGTGTTGGATTAAATAAAAAGAAAATTAAACATTAAAAGCCACAAAGAGAATTTAAATCAAGATTCTGTAATTTTGCAACCAATTGACATTTTGCGATGTCAGTCTTAAAAACATGCAGTACATTTTTTATTTATTTTTTTGTATTTTAATTTACATTTTAGTTTATGGATAATTAACAAAATGGCAAATAGTTTTCTTGTTATTGTTGTTGTTTTTTTAGTTTCAATATGTTTTTGGTGTCACATGGCAGATAATAATTTTCAAAAATGTAAATAATTCAGATAATAATTTTCAATAATTTTAAACTAGTTTTCAGTTAAAAGTATGTCCTAACAAATGCTTAAAACTTTATTTGTTTATTGCTAGGCAAATTTGATCGTACAATTTTTTTTTTTAAATCAAAGAATAATCACATGGTCAAAAATTAACATTGTGGCATCCCTTTGGGTGGGACTTGACTTTGATCACTGGGATTGTAGAAAGTGCAAGCTAAATGGGTGACTAGGGGATTATTGTAAGGAAAGAACTGAAGTTATTGCTCTGCCTTCATCAGAGAAGACATGCTGTTGTGAGGAAGACGGGACATTCATGTTTTTGACTGAAAATTAAGGGGCACATATTTACTGTAAATTAATAATGATGTGGGTATAATTAACATTGCATCATAAAATAAATAAATACATACGCATTGTCAATTTTATGGTGATTTTATATCAGTAGAAAGTTGCTGGTTCACAAATAGAATTACCAGCACAAAATAACCCTTTGAGTGAATCATACATCAATATTTATTGATGTATAATACATTTTATTGCTTAAAAGAAATGATTAGTACAAAAATGTATTTTACTGCAGTAAAAAGGGCATGAAACAGTGTGCTGTGAAATGTATCTGTGCAGGAACCCAGATCAAACCGAAGCTGAAGTTAATGATCAAACCTTTCTTTGTGCACAGCTATAGGAACAGGAAAGTCAACAAATAAGAGTACTGCTAACAGGTGTTGTACTGCTGGCTGGATTTAGTAAATACACACTGACCATCAGCACATTGATTTTTACCTCCATTGTTCGGAGTCATGTAAAGGTCACAAATTGAGGTATTTGTCTAAGAGCTGCAGCACATCTAGTGTCTTCAGATGAAAGGACCAATCGTGGCACATTCACCCATGTGTCTGTACATATAAATGTCCTTGCACTGCTCTGACCATTTAAACCGTTTGGCCATGTTAAATTGTCACAGACACACATGCTGTAGATTCAGATTGTGCTTGCCGTATTTACCGCTGCATAATAGTCCCGCTTTGCAGAATTGCCGCTTCCTCCAAAATGCTCATTTTGGGTAACCACGCAGCAGTTTGGTGGCGCTTAATTACTACTGGTTGCTAAGCATTGCAAAGGTCAGTTATTGCAGAATGAGGGTAAAATGTCCTTGCAGATGCACCGCTTCCACCAATTTAACATCTCCCTCTCAGCAGGACTCTTTTTATGCCGCTAGGTTGCCTATATTGGTGTTTTTTTTTCTTCGTCTGACAGTGTTTACAAAGGATTCAATTAAGGAAGATGAATGTGGCAGTTACGGAGCAGCCGTGTTTGTTTATGCATTTGTTTGTTTGTGCACATGGCACAGTGGTTTCAAGAAACTGATGTGAGGGAGACAGAAATGGTTGGTGGTTTATAAAGTAGTTAAAGCATACACTCCGAGTTATGTAATGTTTCACACCTTCAAAGTAACGTATGAAGTGCAGAGATTGTGCCTCGAAATGTTGTATGCAGTTAACCGGAGTTTGAATCTGTCAGTACAAAATAGTTGTACTGTACATTTTTTTTAAATGTATGTAATTTATTGGAGTCATTTTTCTGTTTGTTTTTTGTTTTTTTGGTACACTTCTTGTTCCTCGTTATTTTGAAGTGAAGACATGGATACCCACTCTGAAACGCAATAGCAATGTTCTATGAATCCGTACCGAAACACAGTGAATGATTCATTCGTGAATTGATCCCAACAACTCAATGATCCAATCACTTTCCAAGGCACTGAGTTGTTCATGTCTGTCTGACTTGTATTGACCTTGAGTGTGTGTGTGTGTGTGTGTGTGTGTGTGACTGATGGTGTGAAAAATAAGTTATTAATTCAGAATTTTAGTATTGATTATTACATGGCACATACATTTTGAGATACATACTAAAGAGATAGTTCACCAAAAAATGAAAATTTTTATCATTTACTCACCCTCATGTTGTTCCAAACCTGTGTGAGTTTCTGTCTTATGTTGAACATAAAAGAAGATATTTTGAAGAATGATGGTAATCAAAACAGTTGACTTCCATAGTATTTATTTTCCTACTATGGAAGTCAATGGGGACCAACAACTGTTTGGTTCTTCAAAATATCATATTTTGTGTTCAACAGAAGACAGAAACTCATACAGGTTTGGAACGACGTGGGAGTGAGTAAATGATGACAAAATGTTGGGGTGAACTATTCCTTTAGGTATTGAGTTAATTGTGAACTAAGTAGGTTGTGTAAACCCATTTCATGAAATGCTTGATATGTAAAAACAACAAATAACATTAAAATAGCACAAATGTATGCACATGCTTCTTTCCTGCTGTTGTAGCAGATTCAAGTGATATAAAACGAGCATGTTTGCATATATATATATAGAGATTTTTTTTTTTAAACGTTATCACTCTTTGCATCATGTGACATCTCATTTTATATTGTAGCCTGTGTTTATACTATTTCTCACCACACATTTAGTTTTTGTTCATTTTTTTATTACTATATAGTATATTTTGTTATTTTCAGTTGTTTGCACACTTGAAGTGCAGTAACATAAATAGATATTGTAGTATATTAAAGTTTTTATAGTGCATGTTTTGGTAATAAAATAAGATGAATGCTTATGTGCAGATCAGTACATATTCACTGTATTCATCTATTAGTAATATTGTATATCCTTACCTATTCAAGTACTTGATTTGTGTACTTGATTTTTTGTTCCTCCTCTCTCGTGTTCTGATGTGCTCAGGATGTGTTGAACACGATGATTAGGTGGTGCTCACCACGCTTCTTCTTCCTGGGTCTGCCGGGCTTCACCATGCTGGTGGGAGACTTCATCACCGCGGCTGCTCGTGTCCTCAACACTGACTCCTTTGAGGTACCGCTGCTGCTGTCAGTCTGCATCTACACTACTTACAGAAGCACACAGCTTCATTTTGGTGTTTTCTCCATTCATGCTCATGTCAGGCTCCGCGGATCGAGGCTCAGACAGTTCTTGGTTCGCTGGTGTGCTTCCCTAACCTGTATCAACAGATCCCCTCTTTGCAGTCTGTTCCTGGATCTGAGGATATCGTAGTTGGCACAGAAGACATGAAGGTATGCCGTTAC